CTATATATATAAAGAAAGAAAGACTATCTTCTTTTCTAACTTGTAATTGTGATCGATGAAGCTTTTTTTTTTTTTTTTATAGACACACAAGTGTTCGACCGTCTTTCTGCTCGATTTGACCTTCTTTATATATATTGATAAGAATGAAACGAACTTCATCGTTTAATATTCTTTTAGTACATAGAAAAAAGAAAAACGTGTCTTACATATAGGATAAGAAATAATCTTTAAGCTGATTTTTAGTTTGACAGCAGCTGGATATTTCTTTGTGATTTAATTGAAATTGAATAGTCCATAAAAAGAAATCTTTTTTCCTTAAGATGCTCATTTTTTTTTTTGCTCGTCAACCATCTGCCTCGAAACAATGCAATTAGTAGCAAATGATCGATATTGCCTCGAGCTGTTCTTCTTCTTCTTCTTCTTTATACAGAAACATACAAGAACGCACGCGTGCGCGACATTCTATTTGATGATCAAGCATTTTTTCTTTTTAAGAAAAAGAATCAGCAATATATATATACAAGTCCCAATGAGACTAATTGTTGATCCAAATACAGAAGCTCATCAATAATCTAAAGATGCACATATTTATAAATGAGCAAAACTAATGTGTCTTTTTTTTTTTCCTTTTCTTCGAAAGCAATTAGTTGATATGTATATATGACTGACATGGATATGTTCTGCCTTTAATGTAAACGATAAATTGATCATCAGACAAAAACTGACCGGCCTTAATCGGAAGAAAATTAGTCTAAAGGGATAGTTACAAGCTAAACAACAGCTGCAAGATCATAAACGTTTTTTGATGGATAGAAACTTCTTATTGTTATATAAACCTGATGAGAAAGATACGAACAGAAATGTCAGTCGAGTAACATCGATCACAATATCTGATTGTAATATACTTCTCAACGACACACACAATAGTTATACATATATATATATATATATATATAAATATATATATGCAGAAATAGAAAAAAAAATGAGAATAAAAACAGACGCCTAGCTTCTTTTCTAACCTTCAGCTCGATAATTATTTTCCGATCTAATCAACTGAGATGATGTGTGTATGTTGATATGCCAGACTATCTAAGCAATATATATATATATATATAAACTTTTTTTTTTTGTCTATTCTGACAAAGAATTTTAAATAATCAATCTTTTTTTTCTGCCTCTAATTACCTTGTCAATAAGTAATAAGCAATGTGTGTGTGTGCGTATTCATACAGATGGTCAACGTTCCCGTCCTACTTTTCTTTTTTTTTTTTTAGATTAATTTTCTGTGAATGTTTGCCTTGATCTACCTTGTCTATGAAACACTATTGTGTAAAATAAAAAGAAGATAGATGTGGTTTTGATTTCTCTGTCTTCAATAATAGATAAGTGTTTCTATTAAAGAGAAAATAGATGAATGAGTCTTTGTTACATCCATCTCTTATGGCAACCCATCTACTATATACATATACCAAACATTTCAATTAATTATTGCCTCAAAGCTATCAATAATACTCATTCTATCTACAAAGAGTGAGCGAAACACATACACATACACACTATCCAAATGATGTGCAAACAGAAAACAAATAAATGATAGATCTTAATAAAGATAGAAATAGTTAGACTAAACTTAATTGATTTCTCGTCAATCAAATATTTATTTACCTGACGAAATTGTTCTTCAAATGTCCTAAAAGAAACAAAAAAGAAATGTTAAGTAAAAATGAAAAAAAAAACATTAAATTTTTACCATTCAGTTGTACTTCCAGAATTTGATTGATTACCACTATCATCTGAACTAGGTGATTTTGGTTGTTGTTGTTGTTGATGTTGTTGATCAGTTGTAGTAGTTGATGGTATTGGTGGAATAAGTAATGATGATGATGATGCTGTTGTTGATGGTGTTGTCCATGGATATTGATGAAAATTATAGGGATTTTGTTGTTGCTGTTGTTGTTGTTGTTGTTGTTGTTGTTGATTATATAAAGCAGCTGCTAAAAATCGATCTCGTTCTTCTTTTGATAAACGTGAAAATGTTTCATCATTATTTGTTGAATTTATTTGTGAAAATAAACGTTCACGATCTTCAGGTTTCATACTAAATGCTTGTGTATAAAGAAGAAAATTTCTATGTGCTAACCAACGATCTTCATAATCTTTAAGTTCTTTAGCAAGACGTTCACGATGACGTGTATAATCAATAGTTGATGTTGTTCGATTAACAATTGATTGTACAATTGGTGTTTGAATTGATGAATTATTTATTGAATTTTCATCATTTATTTTTGATTTATCTTCATTATTATTAACAGGAGATTTTATTGTTCGTTTATCATCTGTTGTACTAACATTTGAAAATTGATCATCTTCATCATCATCAATTGTTGATGATGATGATGCTGATGATGATGATGGATTATTTTTTGGACCATCCGTATTCTATATAAAATGTTTAATTGATTAATATTTAAAAAAAAAAATTTTTTTCTTTTTTTCTTCTAAATACATACTTTTAAATGAGGAAATTCATTGGTTTCAGCACGTAAAATTTCCATTGTTCTCTATTCTTTGTTGTTTTTTTTATGTTATAGTATGTGCTTCATATAATAATAATCTATACAAAATTAATCAAAAAAAAAAAAAATCTGTAGCTAGAGAAGAATAAACGGATGCGCTCTCTTGCGCGCATGACCAAAAAAAGTGGATTGCTCTCTCTCCCTCTCTCTCTCTCTCTCTTGTCTTTTATTATCCGTTTTTCTTGTCTTTCTCTCTCTCTCTCTCTCTCTCGTACTCTTTTTATTCTCATTCTCAACGAATCCAAATTAAGCAAGAAGGGAATACATACATAGACACATGCTACCAATATCATGAAACAGTTTATATCAAAAACAAAATTAATCTATTCTCTTTTCTTTCTTTATATATACTGTATTTGGATTCGTCCGATTCACTAACAAAACGAGCCATCCGATTTGCTGAATTTCTCTCTTATTCTTTTGCTATTAGAGCATAATAATAGAAAGAAATAAGAGAAAAATACGATAGGAAGAAGAAAGAAAGAAAAGAGAGGTGGAAGATTAACGTTGACGTCTAGTTGTTAATGTCGATTATACAGCAACGTTATTGCTAGCTTGACGACGAACGATGATGAGTATGATATGATATGAAATGAATGTAAATGATAATAGTAGGGCAAGCAAAAGACATGGCAAGGCAAGGCAAAAAATCATCATCATCATTATTATTATTATTATCATGCAATAACTGACAGACAGATACAGAAAGCTTCATGTACCCATTTCTTTCTCATAGAAAAGATTGTTACAATCAAATCTTAGTTTGTATATATATATATATATATGATAGAGAAGTATTGTCGACAATGTTATACTAGATTGCTTCTTATAGTCGTATGTATGTGTTGTTATTTGCATTCAGTCGGGAGAACATCAATTTAGTAGACAAAATTACACATCATTTTTTTCTTCTTCTTCTTCTCCTCCTCCTCATTCTATTTGTCTTACATGATTAATCAACCAACTTATCTTTACATTATAATTATTAAAAGAAAAAAAAAAAAAACAATCAATATGATTTGTTAAGATAATTATTAAATTAAAGTTATTATAATCAAACAAATACATATATTCAATGTCATATATTATCATTAAAATAAAAGAATTGTTCTTTCCTACCGACATAATTTATATAAACATTGATTATCCCTAGGCGATCATCATTAACAATAATAACATAAAGTAAAAAACAAAAAAAAAAGAAAAAGAAGAAGATTGATGTTATTACTGATAGTTTGAAGTTTAGAATTGAGTTATTCTTAAAATAAATTGTTCATTTATTTTCTATAATAATTAATATAAACTTTTTCTTATTGACTTTTATTTTTCATTTATATATATATCTAATGAAGTTTTAACATAAACATTGATCTTTTTTTTTTGGTATTATATTAAAAATATGATTATATTTAAAAGATTTTCTTCTATTAAAAGAATGTTACAATCTATTTAATGAGAAAAAAAAAATAATACACTTAACTTTGATTATATGTAAGAATGTTAAATCATAAGAACAAAATATGTAGATTATACTTTGTAGTAATATGAATATGTTAGTTGTCTTATCATTTAACTCAATAGAATGTTAAATACTTTGTAAATGATATTCAATGCATTCTATTATATTTGATTTTGCTTTCAAGTCATTGATTTTGTTTTTAAGATAGATAAAAATATGCAATAGAAAAGAAAACAACAAACGTAATATTCATGAGAGAAAGATTTCGTTCTATATTTTTAGATTATTAAAATTTATTTTTAATTTTTACTCTATGATCTATATTATAAAAATAGAATGTGAATATTAGAAACCATCTGTTCTGAACTTTTGTTATATCCGAATCGAACAAATTCTAATAATCATCGGCAGAATTAATATTGATAGTTTCGTTGCATTCTCATTCCATCTCGAATATCCGTATTTTCTACTGAACAGAAAAATATTTATGATCGATAAATCATATTTCATTATTACACATGATTAAGCTTTTTTTTTTTTATACACTATATGAAAACATCGATAGAATAGAATCATTGGTTTCAAACTTATAAAGATCAAAATATACTAAAATTTTTCAGTTAAACAGTCTAGAAAATATCATTTTCATTCGACAAAAAAAAAACCACATACATTATAGTTATAAATATTCATTAATACTCAAGTTATTTTAACCACATTAAAGAATGTATGACTTGTTTATTAATAAACCATGAAAACTAGTTTTTTTTTTTTGGTGTTTGTTTTAATCGACTTTTTTGTCGATTAGAATGAAGATGAGAAAAAGAAAAAAAAAGACAAACAACAACTAGACATAACAACACACACATACACAGAGAATTATTTTATTTTAATGGTTTTTTTTTCTTTACAAAAAAAAAAAAAAATCTGAATTAAGCCAAGATATGAAAAATTAATTAAGATCATTTCTTTTTCCGTTTAGCAGGTGAACTATTTGATGCAACTACAAATGCGTCAGGCTTACGTTTTTGATTACCATTAACCTATAATATAGAAAATTAATTAAATAATAAAAACTAGAAAATAATAAACCTTTGCAATCGGTGTTGATTGAGAATTTTGTGATGAATTAAGTGTATTAGTATTTTTTGATGATGTACGACCTTTTTTCTTTTCGGCACGTTCACGTTCTTCTAATTCTTGATTTTCTCGTTCGACAAAAGTTATTAATGTATTTAAACGTCGTTGTAATTCCTAAATTTAAAAAAGAAATTAATTAATTTCATGAATAATAATAATATTTCAAAAACACAATACGAACAATTGATGTACGTGATTTAAGAAACCAATCAAAACGAAATTGTGGTGATTGTCGTATAGCATAACGAAGTTCTTCATAAACATTTTCTTTATCAAAACCAAGTTTATGTAACATACAAAGAAGAAAACGATCTTCTTCTTCAGTATAATTTTTGCCTTTATTTGTATTATATTGAATACGTAATTGATGAAATGGTGCTTTATATCGAGCCATCTAAATTATTAAATATAATATTTAAATATTTTCATTTAAGTCTTAAAAAATATACTTTTAGTATTATATAACAAAATATACTGATTTAAGAATTTTTACAAAGGGAAAATATCCTCAGCTGAATTCTCACTTTTGAGTTCATAAGTTATCTATACGTGAAACTCGCTGCGGGTTCATGAAACATCAAACGGATAAGTGTTTATAGTCTATTGATTAAACGTTAAGACAGTTTAATTGCATTTCAGATCGATGTCAACAAAAATGAATATGTCATATATATAGTTTTTTTTGAGATAATTTGTTTTGTAAGTAGACTAGATAGTTGGGTACTTTCAATAGGTTGCTAAGAGTTCAATATTTCGAATAGGACACATATGTTGTTGTTGAAAACTTCCGGCAAAAATTCGAATGACAATTAAATAAAAATTGTCTAATTCAATTGTCTTGAAAAAGTCGTCCTATTGACCCGAAATTGAATAAAAAGGCCGTATCTTTTCAACCGTATTTCCGTTTCAAGATTAGTTAGTTTCATCAAATGCTTATCGTTCAAAATGAAGAATAATACAAAATAGTATCAAAACCAGGGTCAAGTCGAACTCGATTTCAAATATTTCTATTCCAGATTTTATATCTGATCAACAAGTAGATTTACTAATTTTTCTTTGGAAAGAATAATCATTTTACATATTAAAATAAAAATTCTTGAAACATACTTTAGCATCAAGTGCTTTTTTAATACTAATTCGTCGATGAATTTTTGTTTCACCACGTTCAATTTGTGCCATAATACGTTCAACATCAGTTAATTCATGACAACGATCCCAAAAAACTCTTGCATATGACATAACTTCATCAGGTGTTTTACCTTCAACATCACGACAAATAGCATCTAAATCATCTCGACCATATTTTTCATTTGCTTTAATAAATTGATTAAAATCACGTTTTGTCCAATTACAAAAACCTTGTTGAAGTAATTGATCTTTTTCATATTGTTCATCTTCATTTAATGATTCAGCATCATCAATTTTTTTTTGTTCTTCTTGTTGTTGTCGTTTACCTTCTTGTTCATCTAAATCAGGATCACGTACAGCTTTATAACCAATTGATTTTCTATATGCATATATTTCACGATCAAGTAATTCAAATAAACGTGGAGGAAAAAATTGAAAATCTTGTACATTTGGTTGACGTGGAGGACGTGGTGCTTTTGGTGCACGTGGTTCACTCATACGTAATGCTTCACGAAAATATGCATCAACTGCATAATTTGCTTTACGTTCTCGTTTTGGCGGCTAAAATAAAACAAAAAAGAAATATTTAAAAAACAAAAAATTAATTTTTTTTTTTATAATATTTACTTCAATCCATTTAATACCAAGTGTTGATGATTGTTTTTCTCGATAATCTTCACCTTCAAATTTATATATTGAACCACCACCAGCATCTGTTCCATCACCGGTACCACTTGTATTTGGACCAGTTAAATTTTCATTATCAATTGTAAATTTTCTTAATTGACTTTCACCTAAATTTTCATATTTTTCTCTTAATTCTTTTGTTTTTTGTTCACCTTGTGCCAAAACAAGTTCAATATCAACATCTAATTCATTTTCACCTTGTTTTGATGAAAATACATGTGTAGCACCATGTCGAATCATAGATAACATTTCATCTTTATCTAATTTTGTTGCTGCTTCTTGTAAACGACCTTGTTGGATAACGACATGATCAAGACGTAATTTCATTTCAGCACGTTCAACAATACGTTCTTCAACAGTATGTTCAGTTATTAAACGAAAAACACGAACCTAACAAAAAATAAATTTTGTGAAAGGTTTTTATCATTAGATAACAGAACATAAATGTATGGAAAAATTTGACTGATCAGTAATTGATCGATAGAAAAAATTGTTCCCTTTCGATCTATGCAAGGTCAAGCTCGATCGTTTGCTTCATTTAGAAGCTATATGCATTTTTCTGAGATCGGCCAGGTGATGTTCTATCACCCTTAAATAGGTTACCATACGGAGTAATTAACAATGTTGACGAGGGAACATTCCCAACTGTCATATCGCTTTTGAGTCGATGCATATCCCAATGATCTATGAATGCTCTGCAAAAAAAATTGTGCTACTAGCTTAATATTGCATTTTTACTGTATGTATAATCGAAAAGCGGTGGTCCCCTTCGGGAAAACTGAGTTTCGAATTTCAACTTGAAACTTTATACAGAGACAGATCTCAATGAGAATAGTTTGTTGTGAAAGTTTCAGATCTTTTGACTGCTCCTAATCAGAAATAAGAATATCGGAATCTGCCAGTGTGAATAAGCTATTTTACCATAGCTGTATCTTAGGATAGGAATAACGAAAACTTTCATAATAAACTATTCTTGTTAAGACCTATCTCAATGCAAAGTTTCAAGTCGAAATTCGAAACTTATTTTTTTCTTAAACATATAGTAAAAATACACAATATCTCGGCAGTAATAAGCTAGCGACACGAACTTTTTTCAGAGTAATTATAGATCATTAGGGTCTACAGGATGCGCATACGCTCGACTCAAAAGCGATGTGACAGTTGAGAATGTTCGCTCATCAGCGTTGTCAATCACTCCCTATTGTGACTGAACATCACCTAACCGATCTCAGGAAAATGTATACAGCTTCTAAATGGAGCAAACTATCGAGCACGGCCTTGCATAGATCGAAATGGAACAATTTTTTCTATTGAATTCGAGTTATTCGACTCGTCTTCGATTTTCAAATGGATAGTAAATTTAAACAATAACTAATATGATATTTTACCGTTTTAGTTTGACCGATACGATGAGCACGATCTGTAGCTTGTAAATCAACTTGTGGATTCCAATCACTATCATATAAAATAACAATATCAGCTGTTGCTAAATTAATACCTAAACCACCAGCACGTGTTGATAACATAAATACAAATTTTGTACTATTTGGACTATTATATGCATCAATAGATGATTGTCGATCTTCATGTGATGTTTGTCCATCCAAACGACAATATTCAAAATTTCTCCATATACAATAATCTTCTAATATATCTAACATACGTGTCATTTGACTAAATATAAGTACACGTGAACCTTGTTCTTTAAGTTTAATTAAAAGTTTATCTAATATAATCATTTTTCCACAATTATCAACTAAATGTTTATCAGTTGTATATGGTGGACCAGGTTCTGCACCATCGAAAATATCTAAAAATGAAAATAAATTATAATTTAATTCAAAATCTATATATATATATATTGACTTTTATCTTACATGGATGATTAGCACATTTTCGAAGTTGCATAAGAATATTTAATAAACGAATTTTATCAAGTTTACCACTTGCACTATTTAATATATCAATATCTTTCATTAAAATTTTTGTATACCATTGTCTTTGTAATGGTGCTAAACCAACATAAAGTTTGGTTTCAATTTTTGGTGGAAGTTTTTTTTCAACATCACTTTTTAAACGTCGTAATAAAAATGGTTTTAATATACCATGTAAACGTGTAACAAGATCTTTATCATCAGCTAAACATTTTTGTGTATCAAACCATGCATTAAAATCATCAGCTGAATCAAATACATCAGGTAAAAGAAAATTTAATAATGCCCATAATTCATGTAAATTATTTTGTAATGGTGTACCAGTTATTAATAAACGATTACGTGATTTAAGTAAACGTACCATTTTACTTAATTTTGATTGTTCATTTTTAATACGATGTGCTTCATCAATAATAACATAACACCAATTATATTTTTTTAAAATAGATGATTCACGTAAAACAATTTCATATGATGTTACAATAACATCCCAACCACCAGGTTCAATTTCATCATGTATTATACGATTACGTTCGTCTTGTGAACCAATTAAACAAACACTATTTAATGATGGTACCCAACGTTTTAATTCATTCATCCAATTACGTAATGTAGATTTTGGTGATATAACTAAATGTGGTACAGATTTTCGACATAATTTCATATAACCAACTAATGATATGGTTTGTAAAGTTTTGCCAAGACCCTAAAAAAAATAAGTAATAGAATTTGTACATTCACAGAATGAACAAGCAAAAATATATATATATTTTTTTTTGTGATAGATTCGAATCAAAGAAAAAATTCAATTCAGTTCGATATAGTGCAAGACAAAAGTTTAAGTGAAATTAGTTTGTCATTATTTGTTTGCATATAATGAGGTACGGGTCTGATTCAAATAGTGATGTGGATGGTATGAGAGGTCAGCTACATGATGTATTATAGAATGAGACTCCGTCTACCTATATGGATATTTTATAATAAAGAAAAATTTTTTCTATGAAAAAACAGCATTAAGTACCTTTCAGTATTTCGCATTTCCTAACCAAGAGATTTATGCAAAATAAAAGATTTTTTCCTGGAGTCGATCTTTATCTCTCAAACTTGGTCTTAGTGAGAATAGTTAGCACTTTTCTCCTATCAAAATAATTAAGAAAGAACAGCTAGTTGTGTTTTGTGAAACTTTATTTCAATAAGGTGGACGTGAAAAATCAGTGATATTCGAACTCTAAATATAACATTTTGTTCAGTTTTGAATGGTCTTTCCAATGGGGTATAAAACATTGTGATAAGAGGGAGTTTGTAGGAGGTAATTTCACTTTTTCCGTTTTGCTGACTATCCTCCCTAAAACCAAGTTTGAAAAGTGAAGATCGACTCCAGAAAAAAATCTTTTTTATAAACTGATAGAGCGTGAAATACTCTATCGATTGATATAATTTTCTTTTATTTTAGCATAAATCTCTTAGTTAGAGAATGCGAAATATTGAAACGTACCTAATGCTGTTTTTTCATAGAAAAAAAAAAATTTTTTTTATTATAAAATATCCATATAGGTAGACGGAGTCTCATTCTATAATACATCATGTAGCTGGCCTCTCATACCATCTACATCACTATTTGAATCAGATCCATACCTCATTATGTGAAAAAATTATACTGAAAAACTAATTTCATTTAATCAAAGTTGACATTTTGTTTATTGTCTCTTTTTCTTTAATTTATTCTTTGCAACCGAAAGGAAAGATTTTTTTTTTTATTACAAAACTTTTGACTAATTTACTTAGACCTATTATATTCCTTATCGTTTTAATTCAAATATGCTATTTGTACTTAATTAACTAATATAAAAAAAATCTTAGTTTGAAGTTGTAGGAAAGAAAAAATGATGTAATATATTTATTTCTTATACCATTTCATCAGCAAGAATTCCATTGATACCATTTTCATATAATGATATCATCCAATTAAGACCACGAACTTGATAATCACGCATTTCACCACCTTTGACATCTAAAGATTTTCGAGAAAAAAAAAAAAATTATTTTTTCAAAATGAATTTATTTTTTAAAAAACTTACACCATGGTGATTGATCAAATCGTGTTATTGAATTAAGTTTTTCAGCTTCTTTTGCATCACTTAATAATTCAGCATCTTCTTCTTCTTCAGTCATACGATGACGATGACTAATGAGAAAATAAAAATTTTTAATTCTTTTTTGTGACAAAAAATACATACTCTCCAGTAGTAGTATTAGGATTTGATGAAATTGGTTTTTTAACTTGTGTTTTCATTTTTAAAGGTGACGTTGGACCACCACCTTTTGCATGTTTATTAAGTTGACCATCTTGAACAAAATGTGAAAAAATTTCTGTTTGTTCAAGTAAATAATTAAATCGTTTAACTTGATCTTCATTCTAAATGATACAACAAAAATATGAATTTAAACATTTTTTTTGGTTAATCTTTACCAATCGACTTTGAAATGCAGGATCAAGAACTATTTCAGGTTTTTTAATTGGTTTCTTTTTTTTTGTTGTATATTCTTGATCAGAATCTTCGTCATCTTCTTCTGGTAACTCATCAACACCACCAAGTTCTTCTTCAAGTTCATCAGCATCTTTTTTTTCTTCAAGTTTTTCTTTTTGTCTTTTCATAACTGCTGCTCGTTTGGTAGGTGTTATATTTTCCGACTCACTTTTATCATTGGTTGTATCCATTGTTTCCTCAGTGTCACTCATTTTCTTCTCAATCTAAAAAAATAAACAATGAAGAAAAATAAATGATTTTGATGATCATAATAAAGATAGATGATGTCTTAAAAACATTATAAAGAAGTTAACATTATTATAATTATGTACTGAATGATCGTCAGATTATATCGGACTATTCATGAAGAAAGGAATAACAAGTAATGTGCTTTCTTCATGACGAAGAAAGTATACATGAATCATGAGAACAAAGAAAGAATGGATGCAATTCAATAACGATAAAATACGGATTTGTTTTGATGAAATGTATGAAACGATAGATGTCGCATAATGACGATCACTATTTTTTATTGATTATTCGAAAAAAGTTCGGTTTCTTTCGTATTTTTTGATTTGCAAAAAAATAGTTAACCTTAAAATTTAAAGAAGCTTCGAAAGATGAATTGAAAATTCATGATATTAAAAATCAATTTTGATACAGATTTACAATAGTAGTTAATCGAACAAGCTTGTCTATGAAAACATCTGAGCACTGTAACATCGACAATGAATTGGTTGCAACATAGTAGCAGTGTACTTTGAACTTATCAACGATGTGCACAGAATCGGTAACATTAAAGCTGGTGTTCCCCCCTCATAAAAATCCAGTGGAACACCAGCTAAAGGAATACCTCATTGTTATAATAATAATAATAATAATAATAAAATTTTGATAAATGATATTTATCCGTGTTTTTCAATTAAATAAGATATATTCTCTTTTCATTTCTAATTATTAAGTTATTATTAAAAATATTTGTTTTATCTTATATTCAATTATTGTAAGTAATATAGTTATTTCTTAACGTCGAATTCATGATCACATTCTCTGAAGAAATATATCTTTAACATTGTTTACAATAAAACCGATAGATATCTAATGAGGGAATATATTCAACTGTTGGACGCCGTTCGAGCCCATATTTTGGCTACTAGTAGGACTCAGTGCGACTAAGAAAACCCTAAAAGGATTCGTGCCCATGGCGTGTTCCTGGCGAGATATCAAGTTTTTAGTGAATTTTCTCTGTAGCACTTCACTTTTGCAGCAAAGCTATATTTTCGAATTCTGACTTGAAACTTTGCCTACATAAAGGCCTCAGCTAGACTAGCTTGCATAAAAAATTTCAGAAGTTTTGAACAAAGTCTCTTCGAGATACCAAGTTTTCAAAAAATGTATGCTATATATACTATCTATGAAAAAGGGTCTGTGTCTTGATAGTTCGGTATCTTGGAGAGACTTTGTTCAAAACTTCTGAAAATTTTTATAGCTGAGGCCTTTACGTGGGCAAAGTTTCAAGTCAAAATTCGAAAGTATAGCTTTGCTGCAAAAGTGAAGTGCTACAGAGAAAATTCACTAAAAACTTGATATCTCGCCAGGAACACACCATGGGCACGAATCCTTTTAGGGTTTTATTAGTCTCATGGAGTCATACTAGTAGCCAAAATATGGACTCGAACGGTGTCCGACAGTTGGATATGTTCTCTCGTAAGTTCTATCATATATAAAAGAGACAAAGATCATTAATAATCTTAGAATAGGTTTTCAATTAAAAATTTCTATCAATCAATACGTAAGACAAATCATAAAATAAGTTAAAGTTTAATTCCAAAGATATATCATTACTAAATACAAAATAATTTTTATTTAAAACTTCTAATGTTAGATACAAAAAATAAACTTTGAAGTTATAAATTAAAATTTAAGTTCAATAATAAGTTAGTTTCCTAGCTTTTTGCTTAAATATTCTAACATTGTAGATCAGAAAAAAAAATATGGAATTACATTCTTCATTTTAAATCAAAAAATCTTTATTAATATTAGAATAATTTTTTGCTTAGATATTGTAAATAAAGCAAACTTTGGATATGTAAGCTAATATTCAAATACATGCTAATTAATTTAAGAAAATTCTTTTGTTTGAATATCATAAATTTCGAGAAAGGAAGAAAACATTAAATTGTAAAATCGAATCTGAATTTCAAAAATAGATGCTAACAACTCTTATTTATTTTTAACTGAAATATACTAACGTTGAAGATAAAAAATCAACTTTGAAGTTTCAAACTTCAATTCTACTTGAGAAACTCACTCATATTTATAAAAATTTTGTCATAGCGAAAGAAAAAATGATTTTTTTTCGCTAATGATATAAAAAAGAAGTGTCCTGCATGATATTATCATTCATTTTTATCATCATGAATCAAATATTTTATCTGTTCTCTCTCTCTCTTATTATGTTGAATAGACGAAGGTAAGAGCATTTTTTTTTTCGGGATAGAGAAAGAGAAAACGATGTCTGTTTGTAGTGTGATCGTTGAGCTGTGACATTAATCGAATCAACGTTCATTTTGACAATTATCGAATACTTTTTTTACCTCATTTAGATATCCGTCTTATAGAACGAAGGTAAGGTTATCCGTTTTTTTTTTCGATATATAAAAGGTGTCTCATAAGTTTTGAGATGATTTTAAAATTTATCATTCTTGCATTCAATAAAAGCAAACTCTTTGAAACTTTGGTAGATTATTGTAAATGTTTAGTATTACATAATTATAAAGTTTGAAGTCTACAGCTTTTACTACGGATGAGAACTGGTAACAAGATTGTCATGCATTATTTTTTCGATTTTCTTTATCATTTCGGTTTATTATTTTAAAAACTCCAAATCAAGTAACTAATACTTCTGTATCTGATTACTAATTTTAATCATGCTGGTATTTTATCTATTATTCGTTGACATAATGAAATATTAAATTTATTCCATTTCTTTTGAATGTCATTTTTTAAATTGTTCAATATGACTGTATTCGATGTCCTCGTAATTTCTCTTTTAATACATTTAAGACGTTTTCTATTAGCTAAATATTGGCTAGTTTTGCAATATAATCTATTGATTCAATTCGATTGATAAAAACATGTTTAGAATTATCTAAAGCCACCTGCATTCTTTTTTTGTTTTAGGATCTTGATCGTTTTGAAAAAAAATAATGTTTTGTAAATCTCACCTAATTCTTTAGCTACTTTTATCCGTTACAATAATTCGAATAAATTTTGTATATCTATCATCAGTAAAATATTTTTTTTTATCTTTGCTACGAAATATCGCTCCACAATAGAACACTTTTCTGAAATTTTTCTTTTGATTTGATTTTTAAGTCCTATGGAATATCAAATATTGGTTAAGTATAG